GAAGCTAGTAGTAACAAGTGCCTTACTAGTAGTAACAGGTGCCTTACAACCCACTCCGAAATGGCATCCAAAAGTAGATTGTTTCTCTGTCTCAGTCTGTCTCTTGACTGGAGGCATAGCCTGGCCGTCCGCTTGGATGGAATACTGCTGGAGCCTGCCGACATTTCGATTTGGGACGAGGACAGAGTTGTGCACAAGCCCTAAAATTTCAGAAGCAAGCCGATTCCAGCGCATTTCATACAATACGAGTCTACCGCAGAGGGCTTTCAGAACTTATGCACTCATGTTTGTCAGAAAATGTCAATGTAGATGTACGTCTTGGCAAACGCGTCGCTTGGGGCAATCAACGGATGAGCTTGCAAGTCTTGGACGATAACACCTTGGGTTTACGGGAAACCGTTTACCTATGTTTACACTGGTGCACTAGTAGCAAGAAGCTACTAGGAACAAGTGCATCGCTAGTAGTAACAGGTGCCTTACTAGTAGTAACAAGAAGCTAGTAGTAACGCGTCGCTTTGTGTTCGTTGCAGGGTCCCGAAAATGGCTCCGTACCACTCGAGCCTCTTGGCGATAGTCTTGACAACGCTCTTGAAGAAGGGTGAGTGAAGCTTTTTCAGCCTTGTTGGCTTTACCACTTTGTACTGTTTAGAAGAAAAACGAGCATACCTTTCATGACCTTTCTAAAGTGCCAATGATGGAACCTCACTCAAAGGGTATATTTTTAGCTGCAGCTATATGTGATTCTTCGCTATTAGCTTGGAGGCCATCGCCGTATATTTTGTCTTCGCAGCGAGGTTTCTCTTCCCAGGCGCGCCGGACTGCGATGGCCAGCGCTTGGGTGAGGCCTTGGGAGAGGTGGTGCAAGAACGGCTTCAGGAGAGAGTTTTTGGCGTCGAAGCGGAATTGCATTCAAAAGTTGCAAGTTGTATAAGGCCTTTTAATACCCCAGCGAAGCAAAGGGGTCTTCAGCCATAGTAAAGCATGTAAAGCCTTCGGAGCAGATGTTCTGGGCAGGTTTGGGAAGCAGGCTCCGGGGCAGGTTGCAAGGAAGAGGTTCCGGAGCAGGAACAAGTTCCAGGGCAACAAGTTCTGGAGCAGATCCGGGAGCACGCTCTGGAGCAGGTTAATGTCGACGTCGGATTAATCAACAGGGGCCCCTGCCTCCTTCAAGGTCAACAAGGTCTGAGGTTGGAGGTATTGGAGGACCACATCCCCCTCATAAAGGTGATGACGATGGCATGAGACAAGTGTGGATCAGAAGATCAGTTTGACCATGGACCAGAAAATATTGGATACTAGCCAAAAAGAAAACACATAGTAAAGAAACTAGTAAATTGTCTTGGTTCTTTTGAGGCCGTGTGTGGTAGGTGGGAGGGTTGTGTTGAGGTAGTAGGGAATCGGTTGGTCCAAATTTTGCAACTCAAAAGAACATCAGTAACACCTGAACGCTACAGACGTCATAGCCACAGAAACTGCCCCAGGGTTGCTCCATGCGCCAGACATCCTGTAGAAACTTCGTACCATTTTGTCCCGCCACCGGACAAACAAGAAATGTGTTGAATGATGATTGTGCGTTTTGATTTACAAGGGTTAGTGGTGTTTGACCGCGAAATTCGACATGTTGCTGCCAGGAGGAACAGAGAGCCGAGTTTCGATGGCAGCTGAAACAGCGTCGGGTGGCCGAGCGGGGAGGCAAATTTAGTTCATGGTTCAGTGGAGGAAACGAATGAAGGGTGTAATGGTGATTTTTTGTGCTTTATAGCTGTGCTAGCTACTTCTCCACTTCTAGCTGTACTTTGTGGAGCCCTGTTGAGGCCAGGAGTCTTCGTTGCGGAGGCGGAAGGCGAACGCCGCGGAGGAGGGTGACACATCTGAGGAGTGCAACACGTCAGAAAACTGAAAAACGACAGGGTGGGGCACGGTCGACACGGGTAACAGGGTGTCAGGACTGTCAAGATGTCAGAGACTCTGCCAAACACCCGTTGAATCCCGCTACAACGGCGCTACATCGCTTCCGGCCTTACAGAGTATCGGAGGAGAAGTGGCGAAGCTACTTGCAAAAGCCGGCTGCAGAGGTGACACTGAAAGTCCATTCCGTGTTTCGGTCGCATTTGATAGCATCCCTATTGAAATGCGTTTCCCTCGTTCATCAAGTGAGGCTGTAGATGAAAATCATTTGAATCAGGAAAACTTTAGCCTTTGTCCTTTAATTCATGCAGGAGTGCCACTACAAAACACTAATTATTGTAGATTTTAGTCACAACCGATGGCCCCGCCCTCGGGTAGTTTTTGGCAGAGCCAGACAGCAGTTTAGGAAAGTGATGCTGTGAGATGCTAAGCTTAGACTGTGATGGTCGGATGTGCTGAGATGTCCCGCAATTGATTTTTGATTTGTTATCATGTGTGATGTATGTGGTAGGTCGTGATATGTGTTAGGTGATGCGGCAATGTGGTGAGTTGTAGTTTGTGGAAGTGGATTCATGTGTATGCATTATACAGACATGACATGACATGACATGACATGACATGACATGCTGTGTTGTTCGTTGTGGTGTGGTGAGGTGCACAGTCATTTGATGTGTGATCATTTGTAATGAGCTGGAGAGATAAAAGGGTTTGCTGCATGTTCTGTACTTTAGAAACCTCTTTTTCTAAATTGCTAAATTGGTGGCTTGATTTGTCAACATGCCCCCGTACCAAACAATTCAAGGAGAGTGAATAGCTCTCCAATGACGACTATTCGGCGAGTTTGGTCGCTATTTGGGAATCGCGATCTTCCAGACCTTCCCCTGGAAAAGCAATCAATCTAATAGCAATAGCAATGGCCTCCAACCCAATAGCGTTTTTTTGGAAATCATGTGCTCTCCGCTCATGAGAAGCAGCAACCACCATGTTGCGGCAGCCACATGCGAAGTTCAGAGCGAGTTGAATCGACCATCAGTCCTGGTCAGAGTACCGTCAAACTGTTAGTTGTTTTCTCTTCGGGCTTTGTCCACTGGTGAAGCCAGCAGCATCGCAGGTCTGTGTTCCCTTTTCGCTTACTGTAACTTTTTCGTGTTGCATATAACTACTATAGTCTCATACTGTTTCAAGTTCAGCGTCACATGTTGCAGAACCTTGAAGTGTTCAATTCGTGTAGTAGCAGAAAGGTTCGGGTTCTTCCAGAAGCAGCCTTCGCATGGTCAAAAAATCTAGGAACCAAAGGATCAGCGTGAGCTATCCTGCGTCCAGTTACTAGAAGCTAACGGACTAGTCGCCCATACTGCCCTTACTTAATTAAGTAGGCACCTACTTAATTAAGCCGCAGAGGGGCAAAGCACGTTAGTTGATTTTTCCTATTTTGTTCTAGATCTTCACGGAAACTATTGGACCTGAGGTGTTTGATGCAGGGACACGGATGAGAAAAGTATTGGGATGCCGTGTATCAATGTCTCCAGAAGTCCGAAGCTCAGCTTGACATAAGATGACATAGACATAGAAAGCTCAGCTTTCCTTACAAGAACACAACTAGAGAATGCATTTAAGGCCTTTGGTCTTGGTCAAAACTATCTCTTGCTAACAACATAAGCGTGTTCAAATTGATTTGCAAGTGGTGTTGTCTCAGACTGTTGCAATATCTCATGAAGATCCAGCTGAAATTCAGGCCGCCCATGGACTTGGGAAGATTTGTTTTCGACATGTCTTCGAAAGTGAGGAGGAGGATCAGAATGGATTTGTTTGATGAATTGTGTGTATGTGGGCCTGTTTGCGATTCTTAGTGGCGTTGTGGAAGAAGTTCCAGACCAAGGGCCTGGCGCAAGTCAGACACAACTTGTGAAGGAGAGAGAGAGGCTTCAAAAGCTCAAGTGGTACGAGGACCCCTTTTTCGTGGTTTGTTGATTCCCCACTCGTAGGATTGACGCGACTAGGTTTTCTACAACCCTTGAAGTTTTTGGTTTAGGCTACAGCACTTGTGTGGTTGGTCACCAGAGTACTTGTGTTCTGAGCAAGTTTGGCTCGTGAGGATCCTTTCTTATCGTGTTTCTATGGCTGTTCTTGCGCTGCTTCCTTAGATACCCTGTTCTCATTTGAGCAAGCTGGACGAATGTACTCACGCATTATGTTTTAAGGCCATTGCTAGTAGGTTGGAGGCCATTGCTAGTAGGTTAGTGGTCTTTGGAAAAGAATGACATTCCTTATTCCCTTATTTTTTTAAAATTTACTCTTTGGAAAGGGACAGCAGTTCCAAGGTGATCATTGTGGTGGTCACACTCTGGCTGTGTATGCTGCTGCCAGCAGTGATTCGGCAACTGTGACGCTCGTTTGTCATTTCATTTTTTTGGTAAATGACTCGATCTTTTACCCAGAAAATGCCATAGCCATAGTGGACAAAACGTCAAGGCATGTAAAGACAGTCGTGCTTGAAATTTGGTTTAGCAGGACTCGAGTTCCTGGAATGCTTTAGGAATTTTCGGAGCCAGGCCAGCAGTTGGTGTCCAAGCCAGAGTCAGAGGCTATTTGGCTGTATGCATCCGTTCCATTTCCATGAATGTCCAATGTGATTCCATCACTTTGGCCTTGCCACATCTTGAGCAGTGTCGATCACCTCTGAGTCACCTCTTGGGAACTCTGCTGCTGTTGCCCGAGCTGTCCAAAAGCCAGTGAAGACAAAAAGAAATCTTGCAAAAGTTAACGGGTTTTCCACAGTGGTGTCTTTTCCATCTTTGTCGTCGTCGTAGTAGCAATAACTACTGTAATAATAAGTAGTGTAGCAACAGTAGCAGTGGTAATAGCAGGGCCGTTCGCGTCACTTGTTTGCTTGTTCGCAGCGTGTTCTTAGTTTTTATGTTTCAATTTTTTGTCGCCACCGCCAGACTGTCATCGCTTGCACAGCGTCATTATCACAGTTGTGCCATCACATTTCATTCAAGCCCCTTCTGTATAGATCGACGCATGATGACGTGTCCTGCTTCCACGGATGAAACAGGCCAAGTGTAAGGAGTCTTAAATAGAGAAACACATATCAGTTGCATATAGTAATATAGTTCCACATTCCAGACATCGCTTTGACCATGCTGCCTACAAGTCAAGATGAACAACGAGAGCGCACAAATACAGAATTGATGAATTGATCAACATTCATGGAAAACTGCTTCGCTTCAAGGCTGATCAGGCCTGAACTTCCCCCCCACGCAACATGCTTGACCCGACAGGATTTTCAAGCAGACACCAAGCAAGCGTGATGAAGCCAAACATGGAGTCTTGTATTTCCCTTTGCCCCGTCTTGGTCTTGTATTTGTTGCAATCGCATTCTTGGTGTATATCATTTTCGCTTGCATTCAGCTCTGTAACTCAAGATGCTGCCGCGACTCGCAGCACGCCTTGCCCCGGTTGCCCGGGTGCGGCCTCATGTCGCGGTGCTTCGGTTGCAGACGCGATGCTTTGCACATCCTACGAACACGCATTTGATGCTCGACAGCGAAGAGCTTCCGCCAGCTTCCGAGAAGCCCATGTACAAGAATGAGTTTGTGCTGAAAAGCCCCAAGGAATATGAAGAGGAAATGAAGAAAGCCGTCAGGGCTCCTGTGGTGCACGACACCTCACAACTCATGGAGACTTCAGGCGATCCTCACCAATGTTTTGGCATGGGAGTCACCAGGCAATATCATTACGACTCTGTGCGTGAGCCAACCTTCCCAAGAAAGCCGGACCTCTCCAAAGGTGAGCTCGCTGCTGGTGCTACTCTCACACGAACCGACGTTTGGCACGATCCCAAAGAGCCAGCCATTGTGTCAGTTGCAAAGTTTTCTCCAGAAAACTTCCGCCCAGTTGGCCTGGCCGAGAATGCTCCAATGCCAACAACCACGGTTCCTGAAGGGGCTTTGGACTTCCGAGCCAATCGCCTTCCCATCGGCCATGCAGATCGTCGTCCTTATGTGTACTTCATGACTGCAGTGAGTGCGGCTATTGCAGCCTCCATCATCCGAGCGGTTGCTTGCAAGCTGATCCTCACCTTGTGGCCCACCAAAGATGTTTTTGCTGCTGGCGTTGTGGAGGTCGACTTGCGCCCCATTCGGCTTGGGCAGAACTTCACGGTCAAGTGGCGCTCCAAGCCCGTCTTCATCCGCAAGCGCACACCGAACCAAATTGCAGCTGCCAAGAAGGATGATGTGATTGCTCCATCAATGCGTGATCCAGCTACAGATGCAGAGAGGTGCAAGCGCCCTGAGTGGTTGATTTGCATTGGTGTGTGTACGCATTTGGGCTGCATCCCACAGCCTGATGCCGGAAACTATGGTGGCTACTTCTGCCCATGCCATGGATCACACTATGACTTTGCTGGCCGCATGCGACAAGGACCTGCACCGAAGAACCTGGAGTTGCCCCCTTACCAGTTCCTTGACGACAACACCGTGAAGCTTGGCTGAGCCAGATCTCAATTCCCACGTCAAGTAGTCAAGTGGCACTTTTTGATGCAGGTTTGCCTTGGGCAATTGCCCTGTGGCTTCTGGGACTGGCGGGACTGCTATGAATAGAGCCACAACTTCGCCTTTGATTGAAAAAATGAAACAATTTTGGCCCCAACCTGCCAAGTTATCCAAGTCACACATGATATTTATAGGCGTGATGCATTTTTGCAGCTTGAGCGCTGGACTTGTCTCAAGGCAGATTTATTTCACAAAATATGGAAATGTAGCACTGCAGAGCGCTGTAACTAGATGAACCAATGAACCAGACTAGAACCCTCTGTTGATGATTTTCTTGATCCCTGAGAGAAACCGGTGGCCTTCATCAGCCTTCAAACGATTCCCAGTGAAACGATTTTGAAGGCAGCTTCTAGTGACTAGAAAGCTTTATTGCTGCTAGCAGCGATGGCCTCCAACCTAATAGCTTCTAGTCCGCTAAGAACCGCACGTGTTAGTGAGTGCCTGCGTGGCTGCGTGGCCTGTCCAACCCATTCGCTCTCAGACCCTCAGACGTGCTAAGCCGCGCCATGCAGAACAGCACCGCTGTTGATGAGGCGTGCCACATTGAGTGCAAACAGACTATAGTAACATATAGTAACAAAATGTAACCAACAACCCACTGGCGTTCAAATCACACATTTCAGGATCATTTTCCAAAGCATGTTCCTTCGATCTCGCAACCACAGATATTTCCAATTTGCTCCTAGATGAAGGTAAGGCCTAGGGCCTAGCTTAGGCCTCATGGATTGAAGCCAGGCCTTGTGCCAGCGTGTCCAGCTGGCACCTGGCTTTATTGAGAAGCTGCTGCCGCAGTTGGTGGATTTGGTGTCCGAAACTGAGAAAGACTCTACTTATATACTGTTTACTGTATACAGGTTTGAGTTGACTCGCAAGTCAAATCCTACCAAAGAAAGCATTATTGTTTAAACGAGTATGAGTGCAGTGGAACCAGAGTAAACCTGCGTAAATTCTTTGGACGGTTTCATACATTTCACCGAGGAAGTACTCTCGACTTTTGCCACAGGGAGAAGAACATGCGATACGCAGGCCGTATCAATCACCACGACTGGCAGACCGCATTGGGATTGACCACCCCCAGAAACCGGATTGAAAGAGGCAAGACATGAAAAAAAGAAGGTAAGGCAGGTGAGGCCCATTAAGGGCCCCCCCCTGTCTTTTTCAGCCATGCGGCCATGGCCCATGGCTGTGCATGGCGGCACAGGGGATCCAGAGACTTCCTGGCATCCTCCAAAGACTTGGGCTTTCGCTCTTTGCAAGCGGCCGGAAGCTGAGCACTGCACCGCATGCTGAGAGGAACATTGCAAAAGGTCTGGATTGAGGTCAGAGATATCAACCTGACACCCTTTTTGGATTTTGCAATCTCGTTTCTATTCTCAGAAGCTTAATCCAAGGTGTCAATGTCAAAAGCCTCTTGCAGTTGCATCTTCTGAAACCTTCAGGTACATCAGATCTTCAGATTTGTTGACCAGACCATCCATCGAAATACAGCGCCCGAGGCAGACTTGGTTTTGTTTAGCCGCTGCTAGTGCATTTTGACAGCAAAATCACTCAAGGAATGTAAAGGAGACTGAAGCTCATGCAGCTGTGTTTGCTTCAAGAAGGAAAGAAGGAAAGATAGACAAATCCAACAAATGACGCACAGTCTCCTACAATCTCAATCGGTGTGTCATGTTGTTTCCATTCAGCTTTGTTTGATCATGACCTCAAGACGCAACGTCGCTCAAAAGGTCAGAAAAGTCCAGATGTGAGTCGAAAGACAGTGTTTAGTCAAGTGCCACACTAGTAGTAACAAGTGCCACGCTAGTAGTAACAGATGTGAAGGTCGACAAAATAGATCCCGAGTTGTTGCTGTCGCTCGGGCGCCATGAAGCGGCTAAACCTGGAGTGGAAGGCTGCGAAGAGCTTCGTAATCGTGCGGATGCTCAGAGATCCTTTGTCATGGAGTGCTTCAATTCCTTGAATTCCTTATCCTTCCTCATTTATGTCCTTATCCTTCATTTCCTTCACCACTCTTCATACCTTAGCATGCTAATTAGCATGCCTTAGCTTTTGAAGTCTGGTCGGCAGTGAAATCGGCAGCATGGCGTAGTTTTCAGAAAGCATTCTCGTGAGGACTGGTGAGGGAACGGCATTTGGTGCTCATTCTTTAACCGTAACCCTTTACGTGGAAGCCATGTTCCTCTCTGAAAGAACGCAGACAAGGAGACAAGAGCTGATAAAAGCCACAAACCTGAATGCAATATAGTACCCCAGAACAACAAAGCTCGTTTTTGATGCACATACGGTCACATACGGCGAGAAATTGGGGAGGCAAGAACATGCAAGTGACACTCTTGTGCGACAACCTCGTAGGACTTCTGTGCAAAACTTCAGTGGGCGAAAAGAGTTGGATGTCCATGCCAATTTGAAGGCCTCCAAGAAATCAATCGGGCCAAACTTCAAGACTATCACGACCCATCAAAAGCAGATCAACATAATATCATATTCACTAGGTCACGAGACACAATCGACACAGTTTGTGCGATACTGTCACCTCCACCACACCCCGCAAACGCACAAAATCACCCATTGAGGTCTCGATCCAGTCATTCGTTACTGGGAAATCGAATTTAAATCGAATGACAAATCGAGGATGGTGGTTGTGAACGATCTTTGTGTCTTTGTATATAGATCGTTATGGGGTTCATCGATCTATGTAGATTATGTTCCGCGATCCGTTCGTTATCGCTATCCAGATGCCCACAGCACCTGCCACACAGAGACACCCCACCAAATCTCTGCTGGGGTGAAAAGTGTTTCACGAAAAGAACGTCTCATGTGAAAGAAAACATGTTTCATTCTTTATTCGGACATTTTGTCTTGTTTCATTAATTGAATATTTATGTTTACTTTGGAACAAAACTTTGCACGAACTGCCACGAACGTCGCAATCTGACCACCTCCAATGCCCCCCAAAAAGGAAATACAGAGAAGCAGGAAGCGACCATGTATCACGCACCATCCAACATCGCGCCTCCGCAGTATTTTCACACGAATCGGAAGCCTCATTTATTCGTTCAAAGCCGCCTCCAAGTCCTTCCCATGCCAAGAGGTATCAAGACGTGAGTTGAACAAGGACCTTCCACCACTCATGTTGGAGAAAAGAAGAGAGAAAGGTGTGCCATGCACCCGCATGCAAGCCAGATTTGTTGCAACCTTAAAAGGGGAGCTTGAAGGTGACTGCTTTACTCCCCCAGTTTACCCTGCAGCGTGGAAGGGCTGTGTGGATTCAGATTGCTTGTCTCTCCACACGAGGGTTGTGAGAAAGGAGCGCTGCAAGTTTTGAAGGGAACTTGAACTGTTTGCAGGGTTTAGAGATGAAGTGATTGTCATGTTGGTCTTCTATCCAACTGCTCAGCAAATCACCTCAAAATCTAGAGCAAAGACATCGAAAGACATGCAGCTTTGGGATTTGCAGGTTCCATTGCGCTGCTTCTCTTTCAATGCTGGCATGAAGTCCGGGCCTTTGGCAGGTGTCCGCGTCCTGGACATGA